CGGCGGCCGGGGGGGGTGAGGTGGGCATAGCGGCGGCGGCGGCGGGCGGCAGGGGAGGCGGGGTGGGAATAGCGGCCGCGCCAGCGCCGGCGCCGGCTCCAGGGGTAGGAGCAGCAGCGTTCGGCGGGGTTTCGATCCTGATCGTCGGCGAAAATATGATGCCGTTGTCTTCGATTCCCAGCGCCCGCCGCTCGGTCCTGCTGCGCACTTGGTACTCGAAGTTGAGCTCGGTCTCACGGGTCACCTTTATGGTTAAGGTTGCGTTGCGTGCGTTTGCGCGACAATGCGATCCCGAGTCAATGCGGGTCAGGGCCGTTTGAGTTTGGGTGGGTCGATGTGTGGGTTCCATGAAGCATCGACCGCACAACTGGGTTGACCAACGAACAAGACGCTTAGTCCTAGACGGCACAACGCACAAGAAAACGCGTTCCTAGTCATCGAGTGCCCCTGGGATGAAGAGCGCGGAGGGAGGTTGACGGTAGCGTGTCAAGGCCACCACGTCGCATCCCTACCGCGTATCTTCTTTTGTGCTAGCATGATGGCCCGGTGGTGGATTTCTCTCTATCCGAACTCGCCTTGCTCCAGTGGCTTACCACCGACTTCATTCAGCACGTCCATCCACCCTATTCGATCTGGATTTTTTGTTTCACTACACACCCGCCCTGAAAGTTTGCTTGCTTTGATCTTGCCGTTGTCGACGGACGTGTGGTGAGTGCGTATGATAGCTACTCCGCCTGCCGAACTATGGCTGCAAACCAGGAATCTCGTGCTGGAGGGTTTTCCCGTAAGAAGCCTTCGGTTATTCTCACGTTGCCGATGTCCCTGTCAAGCGTGTTCACTTCGGCCCCGACGTCGGCGTTCCGGAACTTGAGTCCCTTGTGCAGCGTCACGCGGACGGAGACCTTGTCGATTCCATAGTTTTCACAAAACGTGGTGGGCAGAAACACAGCGGAACGAACCGTTGGAAGCGCACGCAGCGTCGGGGTGAATGAAGCAGGTGTTGAGTGCGCAATGACGGGATCCTACAGAGAAACGCGTCACAGCATTAATATCATGACAACTCGCGCTGTTAAGGACACGACATTCCTCCCGCAGAAGAGCTCGACGGCCGAGCCATCACCTACAGTAGGTACAAGGTGTATCCAACCTCCAATAAAACAAAATCCCAGGCGAACGCGCACTGAAAGCGGGCGTGCCGCGATCGGCTTGCTGAGCAGGCACATCGGGTCACGAGCGAGGAATTGTCCCGTAGACAAGCATACCTGAGTAGCGAGGATGGGGTTGGCCAGGATGCCCGCGAAGTTGGACGCGAGGTCGGAGGCCTTGACTCTGGTCACGGTGCCCCCGGAGATGTCGGCCATGGCGCCGAGGTTCTCCAGGTCGCAGGCGTCGCTGTCCACGGAGACCACGTCGATCGTCACCCCGTTCCCGGACGACTGTCGTGTCAAGTCAAGGTAGTGTCACACCACGGCAGTGGTGTCGGCGGTTGTTTCCGAGGGACATCGTGCGGACAACGTGGCCAAAAATCGTGATGAAAGTAATGAGCGTGCGATTGACATTGGCATGGTGATGGTTAGTGTGTCCATCGCGATGAAAGCCATGAGCGTGCGATTGGTGTGGGCAACAAAAGAAACTTTAGGCGTGCGTGAGCGAGGCCTGGTGCGGGCAGGGCGAGGGGGGGGGTCGCGGAGGCAAGCGGGCAAGGGCGTCGGCGCGCTAGCGTGACTGTTGTGTCGAGGGGGCTTGAGCGAGCGTGAATATGACTCAACATGATGTTATTGCAGTTCGGGAGGGAAACTATATAACTTCCGGAGGGAAACTAACTAAACATGCCTACAGGCCTCGTCTAGATTACGCTTCGACAGATTCTTCGCGAAAGTGAAGTAGCTTCGGCCCTCGCAGGTTGCTTGTTGGCCATCTCGGTGTATGTCAACCATTCTGCCCGACAAAGAATCGGAAGTTCGGGGTAGGTTTCGCCGTATCCCGGGTCGTGCAGGGTCATGAAACAAAACGTACGCATAATATGCACATATAACTATTTCCATCCGTTCCACCAGTATATCTTAGTGCATTTGTGTATGCAACGGCATGCACGTACATACCTCGCGGCCAAGCTCCTCGTAGAAGGACTCGGCAAGCTGCCTCTGTTCGTCATTCTGGAGGTCGTCGAGGGCTCCGAGTCCCACGTTGGCCAGCCCGTCCGTGCAGAGCACGAGGCGGGATCCACGACCTCCCCGTTCCTGGCGAGGAAATCCGATGATGGCGGCCGAAAAATTGGCGGTTGTTGGAAAACGAATATCCCTATCTTGAAAAACATGCGCGTGTGCATGGAACGGAGATCACGACCGGTCAGATGACGTCACCGAAGCGTCAACACTGATGTCATGTACGGAAACGAACACGGCGGGGATTGCGAGAATCCACGAGCAGGAAAAATCTAACCGCCCGCCCAAGGCACCTACAATGTATCTATCTACCTACCATTAATCTAACCGACCCAACTGCCGTTGTGCCTCTGACCTTGAGCATGGACAGCCCGGCCACGACGGCGGGGCCCAGGGCGGTCGGCCCGCCCTCCTCGAGCGCGAAGAGGCGGTCGGTCAGGCGAGACTTGGCCTCCGAGATGGGCCTCGAGAGCGGGTACGCCCGCCCCACCTCCTTCAGGGCCTCCCCGTCCGACAGGCGGTCCCCGGCCACGACGCGGGAGTCGCCGGACCCGTCGCCGATCAGGGAGACCTCGCCGTTGAAGGTCACGAGCCCGGCGTGGCGAGTCGGCGTTTCCTTGGCCATGGTCTGGGTTTTCGTTGGTTGAAGTTGTTGCGGACCGGGACGCAAGTGGGTGAGGGGGTGGGGACAGGTGCGGCCTCAGGCCGAGGTGTTCTTTCATATCATCGGTCCTCACACGAAGACTGCCGTCCCTCGCATCCCCCAACCCAAACAGTAGGGGAATATTGGAGCAGAAAAATATAATCGAGCCTGGGAGGAAGGGGGTTCTGCGGGTCGGTCTGAACGAGGACGGGCGGTAAGGTTTCCAGCGGCAAGTAGTGTCGTGCGTGGAGGCAACATGTGACCACAAGCTGTGTGTTACAACAACAACCACGTCAGCTAAAACCTAGCGGTTATCGTCGTGCGTACCTCGAGCTGATCCTCGATGGCGGCCTGCATGGACTGGAGCCTGGAGACGTACGTCATTCCTCTCCTCTGCCCCGGCATGTGCTGGTTGCGGGCATCCTGCTCCGGAGTAACGAGACCGTACGGATAGCATCGACAAATAGACGAGAGAGCCAAGAGGAAAGTGCCGTAAGGAATGCACGAACGTCCACACGACGACAACCACTTTCAAGGCAGCAGGGAAGAACAGTCAGCACGCCGGCCTGTTGGTAGTCGATCGCCCTGCGCAATGTGCCCAAAAACCGCTTCGACCTTGTAAACAAACAACAAAATGGACACCCGCCACCGGGAATAGTTGTCCCTCCTCCGCGTCTGTTGACGAATCGCAGAGAGTTGCTGGGCCCAAGGAACTTCTTCTTCTTCGCTGTCTAGAGTATCGTCCTCCCGGGGCCTGTCAGCCCCTAAAGAATGGTTTGACCTTCTCGTTGGTCTCTGAAGCGTTCTGTTGGTTCGGCGCTGGAATGGGGTTGCGCATGTATGAGCGGGCCCTTCGAGACGGAGTACGCCATTTTGCGCTGTTTCTATCCCGATAAGTCTACCTACCGGAGGACCATTCGTGTTGCCCGAAGGCCCCGACACCCGACACCCAATAATGTGGGTGGAGGCGGCAGAGGATGCTTGCCCGGGAGGTGACAGAGGGCTCTCCGGCATAAGCAGGTGGGGTGCGTGGAGACAACGTGTAGAGCAGAGCGCGCTACCCACAGCCTTGCATGACGTTGTAAGTGAATATATATTTTCCGCGGAGCAGAACTTGACGTGGGGCGGAGCAATAGAAAAATTGCAACAAGCCTCCTGCATTCACACGTCTACCCAAGATTTTGGAGGTAACTTCTGTGGATCTTAACAAGTGTTCCGTGCGAAGCAGTAGAGGGTGCTCCCCTGTGTGCTTTTCGTTATTCGAAGTGCCATTGCCACGCTAAACAACTTCTCTGCAACGCAACTACTATCACCAGTGTCTACGAGAGTGCTCACCTCTGCGGTAAGGAGACGGCTCATGTCCTTGGTGCGGTCTCCGCGCAGGGCGAGATGGCCTTCCACGGCCGTGGTCACGCACATCGAGCCGCTGCCAAGATTATCACAATGACCAAGAAAAAGAGGGGCACAAGGAGAACGATTGGCGACAAGAACAGCGAGCCCGACAGCAGTGGCCAGCGAAGCGCCACTATTTAGCTGCAGATACGTAATTCGCCTCCACAGACAGCGGTCAAAGAATCGCCGCTAGCTATGCACATAGATACGTATTCTCTTCCACAACCAGCGGCCGAAGAAACGCCACCAGTATGCTACACGTACGTATTCGCCCCTTGCAACGCACAGTGGCCATCGTGAAATGTTTCGCTTCGCCGTCTTGACGCGGGGATGCAGAAGCAACGAAAAGCTCTCGTGTTCGTACCGGTTCACACGTGTTTTTGTCTCAACAACGGGCTAGCTCACCGTCGGTGAAAACGACCACTCACCTCGTGTCGATCACGAAGAGAACGGCAGACTCGTCCTGAGGCGCCAGTGTCGGTGTGCCATTTCCGTGGAGAATCGGGTGGCAGGGGTAGCGGGGGGGGGGTGGAGGGCCCGGAGATTAATTGGATCAGAGGTGCAGTGGTCAGAAACACACCGTTGCCACGCGCAACGCGTACTGTGCAGCACGCACTGCACATGAATCATGGGCCTATCCCGGAGTACGCCAGCAACCCACAACAGAAAAAATCGAAGCAAGAACTTAGATAGCTCCTAGAACCACCGAGAGAGAGAGAGAGAGAGGTTACGCTTACAGCTCGAAACAAACCTGGTCAGCGCCAGCCCCCTTCCCCTGCGTGGCAGCCGCAGCGGTAGCGGGCGGGGCCTCCAGGACGTAGTCCACGCTATCCTGCCCGACCACGGGCAGTTCTCCCCGTCCGAGCTCGACTCGGTTTGTATTGTGGCAGAACTCGCACGTCCAGTCGTACACGTCTTCGACGACGGCCCCCGAGTCGTCGCTGACGGGGGCGAGGACCGACACGGCGCTGAGGCAGGCCCGGCAGTAGCTGCAGATGGTCGCGTCTCCCGTGGCGTAGGGCGCGGCGTTGCCGAGGGCGGCCATGTCCACGTTCAGGATGTTCGTGTCCACCTGTGGTGTCAAAACGGCGGGATGCAGATGCGGGGCGCCGGCACCCAAAAGTGTGTGATCAACTGCATTGTTCACATGAAAGACACCTCAGAGTAGTACGTGTGGACACCTGTCGGTCCATGGTAAGTATTAGTATGACTTTGGTAAACGTGAAGATGTGGTAGAAGTATTCTTAAGTTTGACACATTATAAAGAGATCGACGGTCAGAGAGAGAGAGATACGTGGAATATTGTTGGGAGAGGAAGCTCCCAGACTCCCTTTGACGCGTCTGAAAACACCGGATAAATACAAGAGCTGAAACCAACCAGGCTCTCTGTTGCCAGCACCCCTGAACGGGTGGAACGGAATGGCATTAAACGAGAGGTGAATGAGCCTACGTCGCGCGGGACACACGTGGAGGACAGGAAACGAACATGTCTGTATTAGACAAATCTGCAGGAGGTGAGCTGTGCTGTTTTCCTTCTGTGTCTTCGTGAAAAACGTACGTGTGCACAGACGTGAAAATGTGTGGCCGTTTACCCGCCTTTTCAGTGTACCTTCCCTATATCCCCGTGCTGGCGGTTCTTCTTGAGGAGAGACCGCCTGGGTTAACCGCAGATAAATACAATCAGATACCATATACACCTAAATGGCAGGAACGGTGTGCCGTTTTCTTTTACAGGCCCTCTACGAAATCCGAAAAAAGGCTTGATGTTTTTTGTTTTTTTGTTTGTTTTTCTCCCATCATTGGACTCTGTCGTCTGCCCCTCTGGCCCCTATCCTCCACTTCTACTAGCTAGACGACCCAACCGGGGTCACATAGAAGGGGGGGGTTGGACCCCCTCCTGCGGTTCATGCCTGCGGTATTTTTGTCGCGAGAAGGGTACACAGCAATCCCTTCCCTCGCGACTTACGAAGTCGATGATGGTTTACTAACAAACGAGCTTTGCAGCGCGTCGCTTTCATCCTAGACCAGGATTCATTTAGTGAGAAAAAACCTCTCTCTGCCGGGACTCGAACCCATGACCTGGCCCTTAGCAGGCTGCGAGGCTACCCACTAGACCACCGGGGCGACCGGTGTGCTTTGTCCTGATTTTTCGTTTTTTTTTATTTCTACAAGTACAGTTCGTTTCATCCGCATACCAGTTGTATGAACCAGGTCCTAAGGGTATTGGCCCGTGACATCGAAGACGTTGGACCTGGAACGGACGCTGTTGGAAGGTTCTGAGATCGATTTCTCCATGTGAAGACAACACGAACAACAAAAACGGTGGTGCTAGCTTTTGAACTGAAAAGGTCCGGACCCGGGGCCACACAAAAGAAGCGACTGGAAACCGCGAGTGTAAGACTTGATATGACTTCGTAAAGCCAGCACTTCAGGTGTTCGTTGAGGTTCGCTGGGCACTTCGAGCCAAAAGCACGTCATCGTGTGTGAGCTGTACATATGTATGAGCTTGGGAGCGCCAGAACTGGCAGCTGGCAGCTAGCTGTGGACTGGTTCTGTCTGTTTTTGTTGTCATCTTGGATCACCCCTCCCTTTGATGACATCATGCTCTCATGATGAGCCCACTCCGGAGAGGGATTACCTCTAATGTGTTGATTTATCGGCGAAGATAAAACCGTACATACGAGTCGAGACTGAGTACTTTGCTTGAGATTGAGAATGTCTACGCAGAAACTGGCGCCAAGCGATTCCGCTCACGCCCTTGCGGCAACTTCGCCGCTGTGGTAGCCGCGCGTGTTCCGCACACGCTGTACCGTAGCCCCAGGTACGCAGGTCGGCCCCGTTTCCTCTGCTGATGTACGTACGATACACGAAACGATTCCACAGCAGTTTAACATGGCACGCGTCCTACAATACGGAATACTGCTGTAGCTATTGTGGAAAAAAGGGTTTCGTCCTCGACAGACGTGGGGAGTGTGGTGTTCTCCACATTACCCCCCCCTTTTTCGAGGCTTCTTCTTGTTTGCTAGGCAAGAGAAGTCTTCTTGGGGTAACCGGAACCCGACCGGCTGGCGGCAAGTAGAACCACCTTTTTTCCAACAATCTTCTGTGCGTGTGTGCGGGTGCACCACTTCTGCCACGCATTGCCAGAAGTTTCGAGTTCGGTAGACAGCAGTGCATCGTTTCTTGGCCCACCCACCGTTTTTCTTTTTCCATACTCCGGAAGAAAATAAGGTGAGCAGCGGGTTTTGAACCCATGTCTTTTGCAACCAAAAGCAGCCATCTGATATCGCTTCGTCGACGCCATTATGGAAAGAAGGGTTTCGTCCTCAACAAACGTTGGGGAGTTTCAACCTTTATGAAGGTGTTCTCAACACTATGCATAGTTAGAACTCAAGCATGTAACTTCAAATGACAGCCAAAACAATATAGCTTGCGTAAATCAACGCACCTTTCGCGTCCATGTCCTCGACGGAGGAGGAGCCGGCGTCTGTGGCGACCTGGCGCCGGCAGAGCCCCTGCCTGCGTCGTATTTTGGAGTTTCACGGCGTCTCCGACATGCCTCCTTGGCCTTGGCCCTCTCCCCACTTGCACCATCATCACCTCCGATTGATGCGCCGAAATCTACCGGGAGCCTTGACGCTGGTACTCCAGCGCCCGCTTTCACGGGCGGAGGAGGCCACAGCGGCACTCCTGCCCCTCCTGCCCCTTCTGCCCCCGCTCTCGCCCTCGCCGCCGCCGCCGCTGCGGGAGGGGCTGCCGCTGGCACAAGTGCATCGTGAGGGATTCCTAGGCCACCACCCAAGCGGATAGAGTTGGGCATGCTTGTTCCAGCAGGAGGCTGGGGTGCAGGTGGGGATCCTGCGAAGGCGCGAGTCAAGGCGGGGCCCGCGCCAAAGAGAACCTCGCCCATCGAAGAGAGCGGGCCCGATGGCGGAGCGTCTTCAATGACGCGCTCATCCTCATCATCGCTGTCGTGAAGAGCGTATGCGCTCCCGAAGTTCATGTTGCCACGATCGTCCCTTTTGGTGTTGCTGTGGACCTTATTGAACGGAGACGTTGAACGCGGATGATGTCGAAATCAATGATGGTGTGTTCCGGCGTTTCAGACGGATGCCACGACGTTCAAATAAAAATAAAGCAGCGGAGCACGTAAGACCGAGTCTGGTGTAGCTGCTGCGTCGAGGGGGTAGGTTGGTTCGCGTTTGATGAGTGGACGAGCTGAGAGGTGAGAGAGACGAGCGTGATCGTTTTCATCGCCGGAGCAAATTCGTTTTTCGGAGATCACCATGATGATCCCGTAGATTTCACGTTCGGAACGTTCACAGGAACGTTCCCAACGGCGAAGCGCCAACAATGATGAAGGCAAGAGGGCCAATCACAGAGAGATTCAATTCACAGCCAGGTTCGTTCGTATAGCACCTGACTTAGGTAAGGGTTTCTGAGCCAGGTGATCACGCCGCTGCGCTGCAGCTCCGCCAGCTGAGCTCAGCACTCGCCCACATCAGCAGTAGCCCTATTGTACAGAGAGGGAGGGGACAAAAAACATCCTTCGTCACTGAAGGGCACACGCCAACACCAGAGCGCTGACAAATATACACAGGATCACCGCACTGCACAGAGAAGCAGCTGCAGCGAAAGGCGACACCGCACCCAGCAGAGAGGGAACAAACACAGCAAGTCAGCCCACGGCGCCCACGGTGGTAGCATCGATGCACCACGAGGCCTGCTTACACTTTTTGCCTAGAAGCCCAAGTTTCGAGGTGGCGCATCAGAAATACAGCACTGCTGGGCCCTCTATAGTGCACCTTGAATAGTGCAGGTGCCCGGTATAGTGCAGGTGAAATCTCTGGACATAGACAGCGCCCTCAATAGTGCAGGACCTGCACTATAGAGGGAGGTCTCGCTATAGTGCAGGTTGGGCACCGCGGTGCCTCGCAGTAGTGCAGATTGGACACACACGCACCCAAACGATAAGTGAGAACGATGGAGTTGGGAGAAGGAGGATGGCGGTGAAAGCACTCCAAAACGGAATAGAGTGCAAGGTAGCAGCCTTCATCGACCCGTGCAGTTTTCTTCTGTTGGTACCGTTTCTGTCTTTGATCCGGACAATAATAGCTTAGTTAGCCTCCCCCAAGCCGCCCCCTCGAGAGGCATTCAGCATTTAGAACTGTTTGGTGTTTTCAATCGCACTGAGACTGACGTCTTTTCATTGGTCAGCCGGTTAGCGCGGTCGATACTAATAACAGCAACACACGGACAAGACAGCGGACAGACCCAACACAGAAACCAGGGGACATGTGCTGCTGCAGACCCGAAGAGCTCTACGCCGAGGCGCATCATGCCTTGTGCGGACAGTGAACTGAGCCATCAACAAGACAGAACGCCGCGAGCCCCTCATGGCCACGTTNCTCCCCCAAGCCGCCCCCTCGAGAGGCATTCAGCATTTAGAACTGTTTGGTGTTTTCAACCGCACTAAGACTGACGTCTTTTCATTGGTCAGCCGGTTAGCGCGGTCGATACTAATAACAGCAACACACGGACAAGACAGCGGACAGACCCAACACAGAAACCAGGGGACATGTGCTGCTGCAGACCCGAAGAGCTCTACGCCGAGGCGCATCATGCCTTGTGCGGACAGTGAACTGAGCCATCAACAAGACAGAACGCCGCGAGCCCCTCATGGCCACGTCTGCAAGGGAGGGTGTGGCGGGCGGCTCCACGGCAATTGAGGCAGCATGTTTGAGGACAACGACAAGCACCGCATCTGCAGCAAGGGCGTCGCCAAGGCTGGCAAGCGCAAAGCGACACCATGAATCAAACATCTCCTCAATGGTGCCGGACCTGCACTAATGAGGTTATACTCAAAGCCTCAATCAATAGTCTAGTGCCGAACCTGCACTATTGACGCACTATTCTGGTCATAGTGCAGGTAGAATTTTTGGACACACCCCTGCACTATAGAGGGCCAAGTACTGTAAATGCAAACCTCTACTGAAGATAGACTTCAGCTGCGTGCTCTTTAGATTTTGGGGTTGCAAGAGGGCCACACTAAAGAAAGTCGGTGTCCGATAATTGGTGCGTTTTTGTATGGATAGGTGCGTACCCACGTGCGCAGTAAAGACGAAAATCGTCCAAAAAATCGTCCACATTATTGGGAAGCATTTTTTTTTTGTTCTCCCATCATTGGACTCTGTCGTCTGCCCCTTTGGTCCCTATCCTCCACTTCTACTAGCTAGACGACCCAACCGGGGTCACATAGGAGGGGGGGGCTGGACCCCCTCCTGCGGTTCCTGCCTGAGGTATTTTTATCGCGAGAAGTGACAGCAATCCCTTCCCTCGCGACTTACGAAGTCGATTATGGTTTACTAACAACGAGCTTTGCAGCGCGTCGCCTTCATCCTAGACCAGGATATATTTAGTGAGAAAAAAACTCTCTCTGCCGGGACTCGAACCCATGACCTGGGCCTTAGCAGGCTGCGAGGTTACCCACTAGACCACCGGGGCGACCGGTTCATATGTACCCCCGAATGGGAGGGTTGGCTGCATGCAACATAGGCCCTCCCTGTGGGCGACACCAGAAGTCGTACGTGGTGGGTCATGTCGTTTTCCTGAACCGTAAGTATAACGTGTCCATGCCTCTTTGAGCTTGCTATGGTACACGAACAATGGGCAACGCACAAATCCGAGCTATTCAACATCCTTGCCCACTAGCCACGCTCATTTGTCTGTCATTGTCTCGACATGAAAAATACAATTTTAGTCCCCCATCTAACGCTCTTTCCTCTGCTACCACCTTGAAGCAGCTAGCCCACCATAAATGTAAGGTTCCGTCATAATTATTTGGCGAATAAAACAAGAAATCATCCCGCCAAAACCGGATCACATCACCAATTCCGAAAAACACATGCTCAACCCATATCCCTGACCCAAGAGCTCAACCTAAGCTCTAAACCAGAGCGAAAGAAGGGTGGCTACAGCAGCAGCAGCAGAGGGTTGGAAAAACGTCGGGAAGAAACGAGGGGCGGAGCCATCGCTGAAACTCGGAAGCTGAGCAAAACAATGTCACGTGCGCCTGAGGACTACGTACGACTATAACAAGAATTGGAACGGAATTAATCGGGCTTGACACAAGATCCTCCTCGTGGACTTCGCGGAGTGCACACGGAGGTACCACCCTGTTCGATATAAGAGCCATTCGAACACAAGCGCGGATAACAAATGGTTCCAATATTTCCGTTACGTGGTGTTTTCACAACGCCCTCGTGGGCGTAACAGCAACTTAGGACGGGTGACCGCCGCTGCTGTGTCGTTTTCGACGAAGCGTGCCGTCACGGCAAGACCTCTCATGTAACCACCGATGGGACCCTGACCCGCAGCTTCGACATTCCCGTGTCACTCATGAAAACGGTACGAGACGAAAAATCTTAAGAGTGACAACAGAGCTCGACGGACGGCTGCAAGTCAAGAGGAAGAAGAATTAAAATGTCCTATAGAGACAACGACTGAAAGTATAAATATGTTGCAAGTCGACCATTCGCAAGAAGTGAAGTGCTTGCAGAGCAAAAGCACGAAACGAAAACGACAGAAAGGCCGCAAAGTAGCATACAACGAACACTTGACTACGGTACGGAGACAATGAGAAGCCAAGAAACAAGCACGACGCATGGACGAATCACAAAAAAGTCGACATACAGGCAAAAAAAGAAAAGCAAATGAAACACATCCAAACAACTACCTCGACGTGCAACCAAACTCAGAGTGTGGGCACACCGCTCAGACTTGGTAGCTACGACGTGGAGGGTTCGAGCTTCACGAAACACTAGAACTTGAATTGAGCTTTACTCACACCTTGAGCCTTCACATTCTCTGCTGGATCGTCCCCTCGCTCTCTACAACAGAAGGAGCGTGGGCGTTGCGTCAAAGTACAAGTTTCTTAAAAGTGGTGGTGGACAAACAAGTGAGTTTATCTTCGTACAACATGGTCAAGAGACAGGAGCATTGGCTTCGTGTCTCTACTAACGCAATGTTCAACAAACAGTTCGAGCATGTACATATGTATCCAGTTCCGCCTTTTTCGTGCCTTTTTCTTCAAGGCCAAGAAACACGTTCTCGTCGTCACCAGCTAAAAGTCGCATTTAGACAACAGACCCCCGGAGAAAAAAAATAGATATCTTCCGACACTCGCGAAAAAAATCAAAAGTTTCCGAAATTAGTATGCGTGCTTCTACGCCATGCCATTCCAATGAAACAACACAGCCGAACGAACGTATACTCACCCTCACATGCCCTCTACGCCAACGCCGAAGACGCGAGCATTGTGGGCGGCGCCCTGAGCCCCCCAAAAAACAGCAGTTACCGTTCCGACTGCTCACGCCAGTTGCAGACAGCAGGAACATTACACAAGGGTAGCCGCGTCATTGTCCCCACCTACCACCGCAGTGACGAGGGGGATCATCCGACCGCTCCTCTCCAGCGACACCAACGCAAGAGAAGAAGCGAAGACCGTACGCCGAAGCAAAACCATAGAGTACATACACCACGCTTCCACCACGATTGAGACACCTCGAATCACCGACTCCTTCAAGGGAGGGCCTGACCACTGTACACCCGACCAAGTGTTGTCCCTGCTCAGGCATTCGGCATGTGTGATGCAAGCAAAGCAAACACACATGTATCCATACGCACATACATCCACGAAACTGCATGCCACACACCTCATGTTGCTTCGCTGCGCGACATCAAATCATCATCATCACCACACAGCTTCTAGAGGATAGAGCGACCCTTGTTGGGAGGGGACAAAGGGGCCATGCCGCCGCTGCTTGGCGCACCCGGTGTCTGCTGGGTGAGCTGAAGCCGCTTGCCGATGGGACATCACAGCAGCGGGGTCCCCGCGGACCGCGCGGATGTACGGCACCCCCCGTGGAACCTGGTCACCCCGCTGCTGTGCCCCTGTACATAATGCCTCTCTGTACGGCACTACTAGTCCTGCTTGCTGCCCTCTTGACCGTCCCCTTGGACCCCCCCCCCCTCGCTCCGTCCGTCGCTTTCGGCATCTCTAGGAAACCTTGCAGGTGCCGTCGCGCGAAGTGTTCTTGTCGATGAGACCCTTGAGAACCTGGGAAACACGGAAACGCGAGGTTTTACCAAAATCAACGGCGCTGACGAGGGAGCCGGGTCATGCGAGCAAATTCGAAATGCGGGCACAGCACTCGGGGGGTGGATACTCCAGAGATTCTGCAACGCGTGCAGAGCGGCCAAACGATCGACTGCTTACTCGAGCACAAGGTGCTCTACGTAAAGAGGTGGGACGGAACGTAAAGACGAGAGGTTGAGAGGCCCCGGGGCGGGCATCACTGCTGTCACTAAACCTACAACTCCAACGTATCCTTGACGACCGAAAGGACATCGCTGAACCCGTCCGGCGAAAACAAGTTTTCAAGGAAAGAAAAACAAAACAAAACACTTCAGCGCCGGGACAACCAAAAACAAATTAACGAGTAATCTACTGGACTGCATGTGTCAAGAGAGAGAATGTGTTGCAATAATTCGTCCACCTGCTCAACGGCTCTCTTTCCGCCCTGGCTGGCCTCAGCAGCCTGGTTCATTATCTCTTCGATCGCCGTCATCTTAGTCTTCAACGCTTTCAGCTCCGCGTCTTGCTGCAGGACCTGAGAAGAGAAGGAGAAGGAGAGAAAGGGGGGGGGGGGGGGAGTGAGGTGGAGAGAGAGGCGAGAAAATAGGAGAGAACCGTGGGCGTGCGGGTATGNAGAAGGAGAAGGAGAGAGGGGGGGGGGGGAGGGGAGTGAGGTGGAGAGAGAGGCGAGAAAATAGGAGAGAACCGTGGGCGTGCGGGTATGTAGCGTAGAAGCGAGGGGAAGAGTAGAGTGGGTACGAGGAGAGATGAGGAACACAGAGGACACCGGGGAGAAAGGGCGGACAGCACACGCAGGCGCGACAGAAAAAAAACAAAGAAACAAGGGGTGCGAAAAGCTGGATGGTACCCATCGAGAACAATCGAATCGTAAGAGAGATGCGCTGACCCAGATGTTCCAACATGAACGATTTGACAGGACAGGATCAGTGAGATTGGTTAGGCGAAGGCACAAAAAATTGATACGCGGGGGGAGGGGGCGTACTCTTGTGTTTTGCATGGCTTAGGGGTTATAGACCATTGACCACGCGTCCTCGAGAGGACGGAGCATCGTTCCGACAGGATTGATCACTGATGGCCAATCGTTCCTTCCTACTTTGCCGAAGGTGGCTCAAAAATGTCGTAGCTAGTCTGTCTATCCTGCCGATATCACCTCCCGCCTTTTCAAACCACTTGCTATGCCCCTGTACAGCTAACGTCTCCTCCTGGCTAACCCATGCCTCAAACATCTCCCTGTTCTTTTCTTCTGCTTGTCCCAGCTCGGTCATGTACACTTCCCTCTCTTTCTTGTACAGCCGACTTTCCGCGAAATCGACACGGCGGGAAGGGGGATTCGCGTGCGGGCATGGAGGCGAGAAAGGCGCATACAAGCGCACGGGAGTGACAACGGCTACAGAAACCACGGGAAGGGGCACGCACGGCACCAAGAGACCCGAAAAGAACCCCGACAAACAGACAAAGAATGTACTGCGGCTGCTGCTACTGCTACTGCTACTAATCCTACAGGCCATGCTACTGCTGTGCCCCTGCTGCAACGACAACCTCCCACCTAGTACTAGCACTCGATCACACAAACTTCGTCCAGACGGCAGTGGGTACAATACATTTGCATTTACAAGACCATATGGTAAGGTGTGGTACAAACGTAAAAATGGTGTATCAACTAATCCCTCCTTTCTGGAAACCCATCACACTAAGGACAGCTCCGTCGTCCCCACGATTGCACAAACTTCATCCAGACCGTGGGTACAATGCATTTACACATATCGTAAGGTGCGGTAGAAAAGGTTGTATCAACTAACCCCTCCTCTCTGGAAACCCATCACGCCAAGGACAGCTCCGTCGTCCCCAGCTAGTTCCTACCCACACACAACGAGCAGCAGTCAAGCAGTACCGCACCTTCCTCTTGAGGGCGCGGATCTCGGAGTCCTTGTCCTCGATGGCGATGCGCAGGCCCTTGATGGCGATGGCCTTCTGCACGAAGATCGACTCGTTCGTGTCCACGCGCAGCTGCAGCGCCTCCGTCTGCTTGCGGATCTGGGCGATGTTCTTGGGGATAGCTGTCGGGCGAACGGCGGGCGCGTTGGGCGGGGAGAAAGAAAGACACGGACGAGCGCCAAGAAAAAAACACAAAATGAGGAGAAAAAAAAAAAACATGAGGAAAACAAGAAATAAAAAAAAAACATGCAGAAATAAAAACGAGAGATGGTGCGCGAAGTGGGTTTTTGCCACGGGTGCTTCCTTGCTTCTGATCGCCTGTGATTTGGTGCTATTCCTTTCTACCACCCAAATCACGCGCGAAGTCGCAACACATCTACCACTCGCACTTCATCTCTTCCTGCCACCACATTCACGCACAGGTCGCGAACCTATCTAGAATTCTACTCACACTTGTACGATTCCGCCTCGAGCAGCTGCTGCACGCTCGTCCCCGTGCTCCTCTCCGCGGGGGTCCTGCCCAGACCGTCCGCCGCCGTGGGGTCGGCGCCCTTGGCCAGAAGCATCGTGATGATGTCCACGTTGCCGCTGCTGCAGGCGTAGTGGAGGGGGGTGTCCCGGTCCTCGTCGACCGAGTTGGGGTCGGCGCCGGCATCGAGCAGCATCCTGCAGATACATGTGTGACGTGCACGCGTGTGGTTAGTACAGTGGGCGTGTGACCGAGAGTGCCGGCGGAATATCCGAAAAACACGTCCATGTCAGAGGAGAAAGCAGACTAGAAACACCTTTCTCTAGCATGGGGTGTGGATACACAACAATGGTGCGAAGGGGGGGGGGGGGGGGGGGGGGGGGGGTACGTGCTCGTCGAATCCGGACCANGGGGGGGGGGGGGGGGGGGGGGGGGGGGGGGGGGGGGGGGGGGGGGGTTCCGTAGTGGTGCAAAATACCTTGAAACTCCCACAACGCTTCTATTGGTGTAAAGCAAGATAAAGCAGGCAACAAAACAGGACGTTTGAATCACCTTCTACAACAAACGGAGGGATCGCATAAACATTTACATCACCTAACGATGTCGGTGCGGCCGTTGAAGGAAGCCACGTGGAGCGGCGTCATGTCGTTCTTTCCCTTCTGGTTCAAGTCCCCTTTCCCCGAGATGAAGCTCTTCAACCCCGCCACATCGTTGCGCTCCACCGCCTCGATCACGTCTACCCCCAACTACCGAAGTGCAGCAGCACAGTACGGGAGTGTTCAAGAAGAACAGACATTCCCATCACACACGCGGGAAGAGCGATGCAGCAATGTTGGGAAAAGGGATCAAACCATGAGAAGCTGCAATGTATGGGACGAACAAAACAAGCATCGCGAATCACACTAATAAAAACGTAAATTACATGAGTGAACAACAACAGCAGAAACGGGAAATGCATGTTCGGAACGAAATGCGTGAGCTGGTACAGCATGCGGGAAACGACCACTGTGATGTGACGACAGCTAAGCACCAACAGAACCAGATGAAGAGGGCAGCGGCTGCAACGAAGGGTGAGCGACGAGAACCACTTGAGCTGCTGCCCCGTCGCATCAACAGGACAGCAACAAAAAAAACGAGCTCGCTAGATGGCGACATTCTTTAGAACAAGCAGTACCATGACACCCATGAAAGGTGGTTCTGTGCACACCAGCATATACTTCCTTCGTGAAGCCCATCTCGTCTTTATCAATACTTGACATAGAATAGGTTGTGACCCATGCATGCATGCATGCATGCACAATTTACCTTGGACTCTGTTTCCTTCGCAGCGAGGAGATTGCTGATCTCCTTGCGGGAGGCCAGCCGCTTCGGGATGCGGCCCCTGTCGTCCACCGCAGACGTGTTCGCCCCGCGACTAAATCACGTCCGTTGTCGAGGGCCGAGGAGGACCAAAAACCAACCAAAGAGAACGGGGGGTACGGGGAAGGGAGCAGAGGGGGGGAGGGGGTGAGATCTGGTTTGGTTCAGTGCCTCGGAAAAAAAGCAAGGCTGTGAGCGTCATGCGTAGCACGCGCTGGGTTCTCGCACAGACGGGAGTGACAAGACCTATGTGATACTTGTACGCATGTGGTATTTCAACTGGTTGCAACCGTCTTCTGCAACTTGCTGCTGAGAGAGACTTGAGAGACACGGCAAGGAGCACACGCGCTCGGATTGGTAAATCTCTTGTACTAGGCAAGGATAAGATCGAGAGCACTGCCTGAGAGGCCTCGTCGTGTGTGTGCAAGACGTATGCATATAAACATGCATATAATTCACACCGAACCCCAACGAACAAAAAAAACAGGGGTGCAAACCCAAATCGGCAGCAGCTTTAGACGACTAAGACGACTGGGGATGCTGCTTCATGTCCCCACTTACTAACTCTTGGCTCATGCCTCTGACTGCTGCTTCATGTCCCCACTCACTGACTGGACCCTGCTGACTCACCTGAGCAGGAGGGCCACGACTCCAACCCGGCCGTAGTACGCGGCGAGGTGCAGCGCCGTGTAGTCGTGCTCGTCCGTCGCCGTGATGTCGGCTCCGGCATCGAGCAGGTACGCAACGCACGCCTCGTGACCCTATGGCGGTTGCGGAATCCATCGCATTTGTCTTCTTGTCAGGCAGCAGGTTTTCATCATGGTGGGCGGCTTTCTTGTTCTTGTCGCAAGGCGGGAGGCACAACGAATGGCTCACAAAAGAAGAGCCTCGTGATTGATTAATCAGAATCTCTTATTACCGCACTATGCTACGACACAGCAGCAGCAAGGGGAGCTCTCAAGTCGTCGAGCAGCAGTTGAAATCGCGTTCGTACATCATGTTGCCATTGCAAACGCATTCTGTCCACGCTAACGAATCCACCCAAATCGATATTGCTACCTCCGATTATGAGGCCAAGATCCTCTGAGCCAACCACGATCCGGCATCTCGCTTTTCCCGGTGACAAACTCATACTCCAGAGAGAGAGAGAGCGATGTGGATATCAAGCCCTTACGCACGTTCTACCTGCAGACGGGCGACGCTCGGACTTCAACAGTATATACGTTTCCCGGCTAACCAACAAGAACGCCGAAGTTGTAGATGATACGAGTTTACCACACGAGTGTACCTGGGAGGGACAAAAAATAGCACCACTCTTTTAAGAAAGAGGCTGCCGCCGCCGCCCCCGCCGCCGACGGAAATATGCAAACAAAAACGCAACGAGACGATAGCTAGAAATTTCCAGGAAAATTCTCAAGCACCTTCTCCGCCGCCAGCAGCAGAGGCGTCGCGCGGTAGCTGTCCCGCTTCTCGAGGTCCCCCCCTGCCTCGGAATAGCGCCGGAGCTTGCCCAGATCGCCCTCGTACGCCGCGACGTGAGCGTGCACTCCCCCGGGCCTTGGCTTGGACCGGCCGGTGCGACCGCTGCTCCGGTTTGGAGGCGGGACGATAAAAAAAAAAAAAATCAGGGGTGAAGTTGTCCACTCGTGCTCAAATGCAACACACGTTATTCGCACTACTGTAACGCATTGTATTTCTGTTTGCTCGTCTTTTTCTTGTCGCAGGCACCCACTCCTCTCTTTCTGGTATCGCGGCAGGGGGGGAGGGGGGGGAGGGGGCAGTAGCCTTCGTAGGGTTTTCGTGCGAGTGAACATGTTGGATAAAGCATGCAATCGGAGATGCTGGGTTAAGGGTACCCAGACAAGGGATTTTGACGCTGGCTCTTTTCTCATACTTCATAACAGTACAAAGAAAGAAAACAACCTTCCCGCCGGAGGAACCTGGTCCGTTGTGCTAGTATCAGTAGAGGATATCATCAAGAGGCGTCGTGCGTGCTGGCACGTTCAGGTATACTACTGGGGCTGAAATATCGAAGGTCGCAGCAGCCTCTGAAAACGGTCCGAAATCTGCGCCGGAACCAAGCGGAACCCAACACTTGTCACAGCGGTGCTCACCACCACGGACCGCAAACCCCTCAACTGCGGGTTGTCAGCAGTAGCTGGTGGCATCAGCTACTGCTGTAAACCTGCAGTTCAGAAGATTGGGTTCAGTGGCGGCGAGCACAAGTAGTACAAGACACTGGGTGTCGATCTAATTTGCGGAGATTTGCGGAGATTGTGGGCCACTACAACGACACTCGATACCACCACCACAGAAGAAGTTTTGAGCGCGCCAACACCCCCCCCCGCTGCTATAGGGTGTCCTCTAGTGATATTGGTACAATGGACCAGGTTCCTAGCAACACCGGCCTTATTTGAGCGCCTTCCGTTTGGGCTCTTTTGACTTGAATTTAGACTGGTGTGGATTTTTATCTTCGTTTCAAAGGATGCGTGTGGAGGTAGACGCGCAAAAAGCACGTTTTGAGCGGTCTCTACTGCTGCCCTGTGCCAGAATTTTGGACTTGTTTTTTTTGCGATGCCTTCCGACTGGTCTTATGTGTCTCTAGTGCATTTTCTGGCGCTCTTGTGTTTGTTTTCGAAATTAGGCAACATAGCAGGAGGTTGTCCGGGTACCCTTAAGGTTAGCGTTAGGGATAGGGTCTGCGTATTCATCCCCTGTTGTATTTCCTCATCCACCAAATTTCTCGCGCAGGCGGGAGGGGGGAAAACCACGTCCAGGCACCGCTGCTGCGTGCAGCAAGTGAGCCGTGAAACAAAAACAGCAGTACTGCTGCACACGTCCCTCGGCAAGAAAGATGATACCACCGCTAATCAACTGCCACCGACGGACCGATGGATACCGACACTCAGACAAGCAAGACAAAGAGCGTTGTACTACATGCTTGGCGGCGTGGCACCTGACACAAAATGATCGTGCACACCACCAATACATGAGGCGACATCGTGAGCGCCCAAACGCTGTCCATTTGATCTCGTTCCGTCATCCGATAGCCGTGCCGCAACCAGCGAGACCATAAGCAGCGAACAGCAGAACCAACAAACCCAATCGCATACCCTCCTGTTCACCTCTGTCATCTATGATTCGATGTGATTGCGAGGATTGCGATGTCCGTACGGTACGGCGTCTTTGAAATGACGAGTCTATGACTCCAAACATGCTCTCCGAACACGTGCATCGAGCAATTTGTAGCACGAACTTGCCGCAGGCATATGCATATGGCAAGGAAGCTTCGTGAGTTCTATGAATGCACAGCGGTGAAGGGGCTCGACAAAGACCTACGTTCATCCCAACATATCGACCGCTACTGCTGTCGTACATAGCGATCGGTCATGACCCCAGCCGGGAATATCGCATCAAACTCGTTTTTATTTATATTTTCTCCCATCATCGGACTCTGTCGTCTGCCCCTCTGGCCCTTATCCTCCACTTCTACTAGCTAGACGACCCAACCGGGGTCACATAGGAGGGGGGGGCTGGACCCCCTCCTGCGGTTCCTGCCTTAGGTATTTTTATCGCGAGAAGGGTACAGCAATCCCTTCCCTCGCGACTTACGGAGTCGATAATGGTTTACTAACAACGAGCTTTGCAGCGCGTCGCTTTCATCCTACACCAGGATTTATGTCGTAGGTCGTAGATCGGGGTGTACAAGTACACCACGTCTTAGCCAATTCCAGCCCACCAACCGGTATCCTCGGAATTAAATTGTTTGTTTTGTTTCTTCTTCCGCAGCCGGAACGCAGGTACTGCTGTTGTTTGGTCACAAGTCACAGGCGCAAGGCATCATCCATCGCCGTGCCTATGGTTCTACTTCATGTAGAGAGAGGCATCGTTCTACATACCCGTGGTGAAAGCATACCACACCTAGGGCTTCTTCTTGTCGCCTCTAAATCGATTACACAGAAGCAACCCCATGCCACACGGGCTGCATGGAATCTACGGCCGTAAAAAGCAGCGCGACCTGACACCATTCAATACACCAGCGCCGCTTTTTGCTGTGGGATGTCCGGTCAGGCGGTATCCCGACAGCTGGGCTCGAGAACACACGGGGGTGCCGAACGCCAGGTTATGTATTGTAGCGATATTCACATTTGGCATATCTGAGCTGCATGAATGGTGGGCGCGCTACATAGGAAAGCATGCGCGCACATCGTCGGGCAGCTTGGGGCAACTATACAATGTTCGTTCGTTGCGGGTTGTGGACCGCTTGTGCTCCTGGCGCCCAACTTGCCATAAAGTCGAACAGAGGCGACATGCTAAGATATGTATCCATAGGGCGACACGGCTCCTGGCTTGACTTGTGACGTCACCAGGGCAGCGGTGGCCCGTGGCAAAGGATGCGGCGCGCTGCGCATACAGCTTAGCACAACCGCTTGCTGGGAACGAACGAATGTACCCTCTACAGGGAAACAACAGCAGTTCCATCAACATTTCCGGGAGTGGACTGTGCGCGATGTCTCCCTTCATCTCACGCGGCCGGATGCGAAGCCGTTCATGAACTACTGCTGTTATACCGGTAGACGACCAAGTCTACTTAAAAGTACTACCGCGTATAGATGGCAGCAGCTACCAGTAAAACAAGCATGTTTCACACACCTGCCCGGCTTTCTTGAGCTGGAAGAACCACTTCTTCCTGCTGCTCTAGCCCCTGCCCCCGCCGTGTCGAGGCCGCCGTCACCGTCCTGGGAGGCGCTGCCCAGCTGGCCGCTACGAGGTGTGGCCGACAGCATGGGCGCCGCGTCCGCCATGGACACTTGGCGGCCGATGTCTCTCTTCTTGCTGCTGCCTCCAGGCGCCATGATGTTGCGAAATGCCTCTCCGGGAAGTACTGCTGTTGTTGTTCCTCCTTCTGCTGCTGTTTGTGTAGCTTGTTGGCTCCCTCTGGATGTCTATGGGTCAAATTCCCTCGAGCAATCGACACAAAAACACTACATACAATATCATGAAGAGATGAGCAGTAGACGTGGCGCGAGAGAGAGGAGCAGATGGGTGAGGAGATCACATCTTGTAAGATGATCTTATCGTCGCTCCCGGTTACACACAGCAGTGAAGCAAGCCCGCACCTATGCATGCTGAGAGGGAGAAAGAGAAGGCATCCAGCAGTGTGTGGCGGGAAGCATGGAGGAGCGGCGACTGACCAACTGAGGTGTCAACGCTTTCTCTATTGCCATTATAGCAGTCAACGACAGAGGCGGAGAAGGAACACATCAGGAACGCAATATACTTCTCTTGGTGTTCTGGCTGGTACGGTTGGGTACAAGTAGCCTTTTGTTCTTGGACGATGAACGAACGGAGACAGCGCGCAGGCTCTCTGGGATGTTGCGCGTACGGAAGCGTGTGATTAGTAGCTTACGACAGGCACACGATAGCGCTTGATGCACTTGCAAACTCCCTTATTGTCCTCAAGGAGCAGCAACTGGCTGAGTACCTAGACTTGGGTACGATGACGGCGAGGCCGTGCTACGTACACTATTTCCACCGGTCCGTTCCGTGAATCGTGCAACGAAAAACAAAGGGTCTCCTCTCCCTTTTGGTCGTGCCTTGTTGAGCAAAACACCAATCTCTCCACGTACACACGCTAGGAACCACAAGTACCTGTATCGGTCACTTTTCCTCTGAGAGCGTCGCACGCCCGTCAACGTGCCCGGCTGGTTGGGATGATCGTTGATGGATGCTGCGGCGCTACAACAGACGAGGAGAGAGAGAGCGAGAGAGCGAGGTGGCCCTGCAGATAGGAAACCGAGAAAAACATGAGGTATGTGATGAAAGTTATAACTAAAAATGTCTTGTTTTGTACGTTTATTTATTTATTTATTTTTTATTTTCTTAGTTTTCTCTTTTTCTCCTTGTGAAAAAATGGATCTTTGTCTGTGTGCCCCCTTGGGCTGTACACGAGCAGCTGTTCCATTTTCACCATTTTCATATCTCTCTCTCTCTCTCTCTCCTCTCTTCTTGTTGCGTGCCTGCTGCTGAGGTCGATCAGCTGCACCCCTGTCCACCAGTTGATCCGAAAGCTAAAAAGAGAAGCGAGCAGCAGCAGAGGGGAGAATCAGAGGCTCTGCTGCTGCTGCTGTGCTAGTGGTGTGGTGACTCTTTTTAGACATCTTTTCTGCGCAATATCTGGTCTGCAACAGCGAGGAAAAACACTTGCTTCTTCCGAGGTTACTTACTGGCGCCTTTGAGTGCGGGCTCCAACGTGATTATCGTGTGTAGGACAGGGATCCAGCTCAACGGTACTCACCCTGCGGCTGCTGTTTTGAGGACTTCTGGGAGGGGCAACAATAGGCGCGGTGCCTTCCTCGTGTGTTCTCAAAACGTGCTATTAGCTAGGTACATAAGCCAACTGATGATGTGGCACAGGAGGCGGCGTGGTGTGCCGGTGCTGCTAGCCTTGATTGCAGGACCGGCAACATCGGAGTATACACATGCAGCAGCGGCGGCGGCGGCGGCGGCGGCGGCGACGTCTTCGCCTTCAAGCACGATCCTCCAGAGGTTCCACGACGTGCTCGAGACGAACTCCAGGTACGCTTACACATCCAGGACGAGTTTGTTTTGTTGCGCACGAGGATGTCACAGCAGTGTGAGAGGCGGCGTTCAGCGGAGTATGTTTGCATGCAGATGGTCCACATATGTTGCGACAAATGTGCAGCTTGGCTTATTGTGTAGGTCCTTGTGAGGCCAATATGTGATACCGTCCTCAAGTGTTTATAGCACGCGGACAGAAGAAGGTACTGGGCAGAGAGAACGGGACGGTTTTGATTGTGAAGATAACAACAACAACAACCCTCCATATCAACCACACACGCAACCTCCTGAGGTGTGAGCAGATATATGTAGCGAAGTGGGGGCGGTGTTCAATGAACGGCCGGTCGCCGTCTCGCCAAGATTGCTGACGTGCTGACAACCAAGAACGCGGGTTGTTGTATGTGAACGGAGTATCATGACTCGGCGGGGTATGTATGAAGGAATTGGACGTGGAACGTTGGTGATAGTGAGTCGACCCGCTGCGCTGCTGCTGCGGTACCTCCGTTATTGCCGGGATCCCGAAACATTGTCCGTGAGGGCACAGAGGGCAGGGCCTGGACATCAGAAGGGGAGGCGGAAGTAGATACCCTCCTCTATGCTATCATGCGCTTGTCTCCTGCCTGTTCCCGCTGCCGCAAGCTGCTGTAGGCACAGGTTGTAACATGGACTGCTGTAAACACGTCGCTCTTGCTGTCCCATATGGTCCGTTGGCCGGTCAGCTATCACGGCTCTGTTAGTGACTTCCTATCTACGCGGTTTCACACCCTCCGATTGGTCGAGCCTCCCTGTCCAGGGCATGTGAGGATATGCGGATATACTTGTGCATACGATGTTGTAATTAACAGTATTGTCGAAAGGAGATTTCACGGCACACAGTCAGTAGTTGGCCGTCTGCGCATGAACGCCGCACCTACTCGTGTAACGTGTTTTTGTTACAACTGGGCCCAATTTTGTTTTACATGTAAATTAAAATTTACTTTCTGAATTCGAACAATAATTGGAAAATTAGGTCCATGGAAGCCACAAACCAACAGACAGGGGTTTTGCTGCCCACCGGGTCCTGAAACAAGTATCAGTAAAGTAGTGTCGCAAGGCAGCCCAACCAACGCACTTCACTATGTTTTGCTCGCGCCTCACATCGACCATTATCGCAGTTAAACTTTCGGGGCTATATTTCGCTCCACTGCTGTTGTAAGCTTGTCGGAGCCAACATTGGGCAGCTAAAAAATGTGGAAGGGTGCGCATTGTATGCCTTGGATTTGGTATGCATATGTAACTCAATTGCCTTTTCCAGCAGGGAATTTTCATTTTTTTCCTGCTCCTTGAAATTATGAGTAATTCCAGCCAGCGTCCGTCAACATTTCCAAGTCGGCATTCCCAGTTTACCACACATGGTGGACAAACGCTCCAAGCTAGCTCCCCAAATTTTGACTCCGAGAAGGTCATTGCGGTTGTAACATTGGAGCGTATCCATGCCGCCTCGAAGGCTCGTGCTCCACAGCAAGTATCTATTTATCTCCATTTGCGAACATCTCCTCAAATATTTCAACATGACGCTCATCATGGGTCGATACCTTTCGGTTATCCATCCGTACATCAAGCCGGAGAAGATGTGCGAACTGTGGTAGTGGTGACTGGCCTAAGCTACTCCTTGTGCCGGTGACATAGCGAATAAAGGGAGTGCTTTGCGCCGAGGAGCAGCGGTGGACAGTCAGGAGATGCTTTCCCGTCAGTGGCTGCCACAACAGCAGTATTGTTGTTGTTCTTAGTCCACCCACCGTATCCGATCTTCCCTTGATGGCTTGGTCGAAGGCCCACGTTCTTGTTCTAACTCTTGTTCTTAAAGAAAAATAAAACCCTCATCTCAAGTTCTGGAGATGATCCGTTCTTAGGCCGGTTGTTTGGGTACTTTGGGACGTACGCATACACGTGTATTGCAGCAGCCGGGAGACACGGAGGATACCTCCTCTGAGGTGCTTCGTACATAGCCTCCAGTTTCATCCCTAAATGCCTAACGGCAGATGTTGGAAGCAGTCAGTCGTCCCTCGCCAACCTTCCTTCGAGTCGATTTGTTGGATTATGTACATTTAGTCACGAACACGCGCAGTGAGTGTGAGTCATCGTACCGAGCCTATCATCGTTCTTGCATTTGAGTGATGTGATGAGTGCTCCCTCGCACGAGCACTCCGGTTGGTCCTCGCCTCGCGTCGACTTACTCTGGTGCGCACGGAGAAACTTCCTGCCTTCGACAGACGCTTAACCCTCCTAGTACCCAGTCCCTCCGCAAAAACAAAAAATGCCGAAAAAATGTTTGTCGGCCATTGGTCGAGGGGTTACAGTCTCTCCAAAGAATCTGAGCTCCTTGCCAGACAAAGGGTGACTTGGCTTCAGTATGAAAAATGTCCCCACGTGTTTTGGGTACACTTTTCATACTGAAGCGAAGTCAGCAACTTTTTCCAGTACTAGGCGATGTACAGTTTTGCGAACTGGGGGGCACGCGGGTTGGGAGATGTGTACAGCAAGTCAGAGGCTCAGGAGAGGCATCACACAGCATACACAGCGTACCACCTCAGCCAAGCATGATAGACCAAGGGTTCTCACGTACGTTGCATACAGCGGAGCCTAGGTTGACTTGCTATACAATGCGGTAAACAGGCTTTTGAGTGCTGTGTCCCAAAGTGTCCCCAAATCGTCTCCCAAAAGGGTTCCAGTACTAGGAGGGTTAAAAGGTACCTCGACGTTGATAGACGCCGCCTTCATTTAGCCTCTTGTGGTCTTAAGAACGAAAAAGAACGGATTCGATTTTCGCTTGTGACGGAAGCACAGCGAACAGACAGCAAGCGATGTGTTCGAACACATTGAGGGGCGTTGTGTATCTCCACCTGCACGCTAAGAAGATGGGATCTATTTCACCCCCCCCGGTCCCCTCCTGCTTATGATGATGCGTAGGCGTTTCTTCGGGCACGATGAAGAAGCGTTTCGTTTGGCGGTGGATTGGCATCACTCACGCCTCCTCGCAACAGCGGCAGCAGCAGCAGCAGCAGCAGCAGCAGCAGCAGCAGCAGGGGATAATCAAGGGGCAACAGGAGCAGCAGCACAAGGAGAAGAAGCGGTAGGACGCAGCGGAGGATCGGGAACGTTTGTCGCGTTCACGAGCCACGCCCGCGCCGCCAGGGGCCGCGAGGCGCTATCGGCGGTCCTGTCCCCGACGTCGGTGCTCACGGCGGCCCACAACCGGGAGCAGGGCGGGTGCTTCATAGTGCGGGCGAGCACGGCCGATGTGGAGTCGCTGCTGTTGCTGCCCGAGGAGGAGGAGGAAGAGCCAGGAGGCACCGATGGTAGCAGTGGTGGTAGCCGCCTCTTCGACGGGTTCGTGGCCGTCCCCCCCAGCCTTAAGCTGGCACCGTCCCTGTTGGACTACGGCAGCGATTTTAGTTCTTACGATTCGGGTGTCGGTGTTCTCGGTGGTGGTCGTGATGGTGGTCGTGGTCTGGCGGGCGGCGACAGCTCGAACGCGGGGCCCCCTGGACTAGCACCTGATGCTGCGACCGAAGCGGTGGCGTCCGAGGAGCGGCGCGGGGCGGGAACGTTGCCGGGGAAGGCGTTGCGGCGCAACACCGGGGGGGAGGGCTTGGTGGTGCAGCTGCTGCTGTCCCCAGAAGCCACCGGCAGCAGAGAGAGCGCGCTGGCTGCCCTCGCGGAGAGCTGGAAGCGAAGCTGGTCGTCGGACTCGTTAGACCTGAGCAGGTTGTCCTTCTGGTCCGATGCTGACGGTCACCGCCCGCGTGAGGCCGACGACGAGCAGGCTCCTTCTCCTCCTCGTACTGCTGCGGATTTCCTGGCGAGGGAGTGGGGCAGCGCAGCTCGGACGGTGCACGCCCTGGCCGAGCGGCTCGGCGGGGTCTCCCCCGCGGAGGCGTGTGGGTGGAACGGCGTCAGGGTGACGGCGGAAGGAGGAGGTCGGTCGTCATCGGCCGGCTGGGTCACCTTGCGCGACATCGGCCACCTCCTTCCCGTCGCCGGAAGAGACGATCACGCTCCCCCCCCCCGGCAAGTTCGTTCTTCGGACACCAGCGTCGTCGTCGTCGGCGGCGGCGGCGTGAACGGTAACCGTTCGGCAGGGAGTTCCGGCGGCCACCCTGCGTCGGGAGACCGTGGGATGGATGACGGCAGTGGTAGCGCTAGCGCCAGCGAGCGAGAGAAGACGGCGTGTCTGATGGGGCTCGTTTCCTTCCTGGCGGCGAGGCCCGAGGTGGTCAGGGTGTCGGCGCTGCCCAGGGCGGAGCTGTTCAACGCGGTGGCCGGTCGCATCGTGCAGGGGGGCTCGGCGACGACCCAGCCGATCTGGGACCGCGGGGTGGACGGGTCGGGAGAGGTGGTCCAGGTGAGGGAAGAGGGGGGGGGCAGGGGAGGCGGACGAACAGAGAGTAGGAAGTTTGAAATATTATCCTGAAGACAAAATTTGAAGCAGAGAGAGAGTGGCAGGGTTAAGCGATGGCGGTTGTGGCTAGAGGGAGTAGGAATAGGTGGGCTCACGGAGGAGAAGCTTTGTCACAGAGACCATTTTCGGTCGCGTGCTTTATTCCGCGTGCTTGTTTCGGACCAACAAAGTGAGAAGCCTCTTTGCTGCGGCACGACGGAGGTAAATTTGTCGATTTTTTCGTTGAAGGTTTTGATCACCTTCTTTTGCATGTTTGTGTTTCGACCCTGCACGTTAGCAGATGCGCCAGACAAAGCCCACCCGACCGTCATTTTATTTACCTTTGCGGCGACGAGACGACGAGGCCGCGGATGATGTTTGTCATTGTTTCGGTTATTTTCTGGCTTACTCTTCACACTAGACCACTAGTGTGCGTGTTTTCGACCTGGTTTACGGTGAACTCTCTCTCTCTTTCTCCATCAGGTGGTCGACTCGGGTATCGACGAGGGCTCCTGTTTCTTCAGGGACTCGGCGACTACCCTAGGCCCCGACCACGGGTACCTCCGTGACTACGACGGCACCCTCGGGGCTGGAGACTACACGTACGACCTCTCCCAGCGAAAGGTGGTCCAATGTGAGTCCGATCTATATGTCTGTTTTGCACGTCATCGATATCCGCGGGTCAGTAGTTGTAGTTGTTCTTGTTGTTGGTATTGGTGGTGCTAGTACTGGTGTTGTTTTCGATGTTGTCTTGACGGTATATACCGTTCCGTTTATCTGCTCAGTACCTTCTTCTATCCGTACCGGCCTGTCCAACTGACACGAACGCCCACCGTGGTCACAGGCGGACTCCCTGAATGACTAAGGACACTTGTTTTTGATGCAATACGGGGGAAAGGAGCGAGCAATTATCTACATTATTTGACACTGTGTCTAGCTTCCATGGTAAGTCATTCAACCAACTTCCATGGAAGTCGCCCACCTTCGGGCAGCGTCCATGAAAGTAGAAGTTTTGCTTCCATGAAAGCTTGGTGGCACAACTTCTATTGAAGTCTATCACCCGAGTCCAGCTTGAGGTAACATTAGGTGACAACATTTTGTTTGAGTTAGGATTACTTGCTTGAAGTTGCTTTCATGGACGTTTTCAACCTTCCATCGAGGTTGCCTGCCGGCAGTGACATACACTTCGGTGGAAATTGCTTTCATTGAACGTGTCGTGCTTCCATGGAAGTTGCCTTCCAGCCATGACAAACGCTTTTGTGGAGGCTACTTCCATGGCTGTCGCACTTCGATGAAAATGCCTCCACAGTTTTGGGGAGGTGTTCGACAGACGAAGTTCCATGGGAGTCATGACTTCCATGGAAGCTCTTCGCGCTTCCGTGGAAGTGATTGATGCGACTTCCACCGCTGCTTCCATGGAAGTTGAGCGGCTTCCATGGAAGTCGATCTACTTCCATGGAAGCTTTGCCATATGTCAAATAGTGTAGGTCGAGGCGCTCGGTGTTTAAAGGTTTGAGGTTCCGTGCGGAGATGAGGTTTTTCGGCGGCCGAGCGAGAGGCGGGTGAAAGGCGAGAGTGGCGTTGTTGATGTTGTTGCAGAGACTGTGGCCTGGGTCGGACCCACCTCTTCTGTAGCCGCATGTATGATTTGAGCAGAGCCGGAGGGCGCCCCGTGCTTTTGGTCGTCATCTTTCCCTGTGAAACCCCCGCTGGTACGCTGGACCATGCGCTTCCTTCTCAAAACAGCCGGCCGGGTGGTGGCCATGTCTCACCTACCTCTCCATCTCCCGAAGCCACCCGCATCCGCCCCCGTTTGGGTAGCAATTTGCTCCCCATGTGCTATAGTCGTTTCTCGGCTTCTGTGGATGCAGCAGTGAGGTTACCTTCCCCACAGCCCCGCTCCCCTCGTAGCCTGCACGCAAGCAAGCAAACACACTTTTCTCCGCGATCTCCGTAATCTCCATTGTCTCCGTCGTCTCCGCAATATCAGCTGAATCTCCTCCCCATCCTGTTCTTGCCAAC